CTCTCTCTCTCTCTCTCTCTCTCTCTCTCTCTCTCTCTCTCTCTGAGCCGACCAGAGGTCCTACGTGTTCGCGGTCACATGAGCCCAGCCATATGAAACAACATTGTTATACCGCATGGCTCCGGGCGGGTCGGCAACAACCAATGTGAGAAGCTTATTACTCCCTTGAAGTAGAAATGATAATTGTTTCTTGTCGTACGACGAGTCTCCGGCAGATCTCTCGGGAAGAACGATGAAGTGATGTAAGATGCGTCTAAATCCCGTCCTTATGCATGAGCTGGGCAGGATTTTGAAATTCCTGAATGTGACCACGTCTACTTGTTATTACGACTCTAGAAACACGACTAACAAGATCGCCGTCGCCGTGATCTAGTTTTTTGCCGCGCACCTTCGCCTTTGGCGGGCGCGCGGGGCGCGTTAGCATTCAAGAGATGGATGCGTGCCATATGACCCGAGGGCAAACAGCGATGAGTGTCACTCGCTCCAGATCGCAACACCGTGTTGGCCGGCGCCGTCTCTCTCTCTCTCTCTCTCTCTCTCTCTCTCTCTCTCTCTCTCTCTCTCTCTCTTCCTCTCTTCTTCCAACACGTGCACAATCTGTCGCACTCCTTTCAAGAGGCGGGAGATGTTGATGCTGCGCTCTAGGGTCACAGGGCAAGTTCAACTGGGCCTAGAGTTGCCTCACCAGGATGTGCAGCGCCGCGCCGTGCGCCCGCGGTGGGACTGCTTTTGTCGGCACGTACCCCTCTAGTGCCGCGGCGTGCAAAACCTGATCCTAGATCGTCGGGGGTTTATGCAAAAGAACCCCCTCCCCCCTCCCGGCCTCTGCTGCCCTCTCGGCTTTCAGCACAGCAGCACCTCGCCGCCACTTTGCTAACCTGTGCTTATATCTAATTTCTGTTTTCAGGTGAGTTTACTACTCGCAAGCGTCCCTCGGAGTGACTCGACGGACGTCGTCGCAGAGTTGCTGTCGGTAAGGTGCATCAGTTTGCACTTCAAGATCTCCGAGCGCGAGAACTTTAGTATCCCAACCAGCAAAGAATAGTATCGCAGACAGACAATCGTTGTTTGGGGAAAAATTCGTAAAAATTACTCTGAAAAACTCAAGTGTCGTACAGTATCACACTGCTTCCAAGTGTAGGACCAGCGTGTACCGCTGCACTGATAAACTAAGTGTTCAACTGCTCAACACTTGCAAGTGTGCAACTGCAAGTTAAATACTTGCAAGTGTGCAATTGCATGTTGAATACTTGCAATTGTGCAACTCGGTAGGTGTGCACTTGCAAGTGTGCAACTCCTCGGTTGAACACTTCCTTAGATTGAACACTCGCTGTGTAGGAAGTGCTCAATCGGGGAGTTGCACACTTGCAAGTGCACACCTACCGAGTTGAACACTTGCAAGTGTACGACTAAGCAGTTGCACACTTGCAAGTATTCAACTGGCAGTTGCACATTTACAAGTGTTGAACAGTTGAACACTTAGTTTATCAGTGTGTTAAAAGTGAACAGGACACCATGTGTAACACAGTTAAAACTGTAGGTCAAGAGGTGTCCGACACTTAGCCCAGCTGGCTCCTTGAGGTGTCGGAAACCCCTTGTCCCATAGTTGTGACTGTAGTTCACGTGGTTCACGTGCTTCTGGACTTATACGTGTTATACTGTACGACGCTTGTGTTTCCAGAGTGAAAGAACAACTATAATCTGATTTTGTATTTATGATTTCACTGTCGGCAAATCGCTGTCGTCCCGATAGTACATTTTAGTATTTTGTCAAAAATTTCAAAAACGCACACCTTAAATAAGCAAAGACTTCATTGCCAGTAATATTTGGATACTTCTGTGGAATGTCAGCCTAAGCTTGATGCAAAACTTGTGTTGTGTATCATCAAAACTTGCTGGCGACGGCGACATACAACTTTCAAATGCATGCCAACTCCAATGTAAGGAGCGTCCCCGTCGCACATGTTGCACTTACCCAAAGTCTCCTCGCCTTGGTCCCCGTCCCGTCGTCAGCGGTGATGCGCCACAAGTGATGGTGCGTGGTGCCGCTCGGGGTCCCACCGGCCGGAGGGGTGGCGCCCGGTGGCGTCGCAAGGCTCTTCTGCGAACAGCCGTTACTGCTGATCGTTGCGCGGCACCGAGGGTAGGAAAAAAAAGACCGGTCAATCGGTATTCGTTGATCGGGTCGGGCTACCTCTGCTAAACTGTGAAAAATAGTCGTAGGTTTTCGGGAAAATTTACCAGGTGTGTCGTAAAATCTCTTTTTTTTAAATTGTATATCGTACAAGCATCTTGTTTCAACTTAAAGTTGATTAACAAGCAAGAATGCTGTCGCGTCGCGAATTTACAACTACAACATACAGGGTGGCCGCTCTGCCCCGTATTTTTGAAAAGGTAGACTAGCCCTCTCACAGACGGAGCGGAGAGGTGGGACTAGGGGACGGGAGAGGTAGGTGCGGGCGCGCTAGTCTACCTTTTTAAAACTACGGGGCAGAACGGCGACACTGTATATTTGTGTATAAACATTACGACGAAAGTAAATTTACGATGATATTTTTCACAGAGTATGTTTTCGAATGTAGTGGGTGAGAGACAAAGAAAACACTATGACATGTGATGTTATAGGGGTCTGGCATCGTTTATTATTTTTTTACATATGGTTGGTGAACATCAGCAACTTTCAAACCATGTCAAGGTTTGCGTAGAAATCTGTCACTGCACCTTAGAATGTTCTTAGCCTCACGGTAGTTTTCTCTGTCGCATGCAGTGGTCAAGCCGATCTGATGTCTACACTATACCGCTTTCACTTGTATTCTTATATAGCACGGGAGTCTCCGAGACTACAGCCCCTTCCACCAATAAATTATATATCTGTGGTAGATTAACGAATGCTTTGAGTCTAGTTATAGTTATTTTGGCACGTGTGATGTCCTTTGTCAGAGATTAACCGCCTATGTCCGTTCCCACTAGTTCTCTCCCACCACTCACCGTTAGCATTTCAAGTGTGCAAACTCCCAAACACTTTCAAATATTCAACAAGTGATTTTCTTTTAAAGCTATTTATAAACTCGTGCATTATAATACGCAAAGTGAGTCAAATATGACGTGTTTGTATGGTTGTAGGGAGAAATAATAAATAATCACCCTAGTAATAACGGTGCGTACGCTAGCTGTCATATATAGGAATGCAATTCAAGATGGACACGCCGTGTGAAATGCGCTCTGCACTTACTTAGAGTGCGTGCTTGTTGAACACTTGAAAGATCGCGTTTGCACACTGCACAGTAATGTTCCAATCCAAACCATCTCTGCAAACACTGTTAAAATCATCCTTGTCGCTTTGAGGACATCCTCGTACCGAACATTGTATGCAAGGGATTGTCTTCATAACGATGAAGATTTTTCTCACAGTGTTTCTCACTCTTTGCAAGTCTCAGACGACCTGTTTTCCCGCTCAGAGAACACGAAAGTGTCACGGATAGGTCATTTCAGTCAATAAAACTTTAAAATGACTGAGTTTTGGCCTAAATTTTGACCTTTCTCGTGACCAACTTAGTTCTTTGGATGTCAATATGACGTGTTGATTGGGAGTGCTGCTAGTAGTAGTCGCCGCCGTGGTTGATCTCGCCCCAGTCCTCCTTGATCATGTCGGACGCCTTCTCGGCGATCATGATGGTGGGCGCGTTGGTGTTGGCGCGCACGATGACGGGCATGATGGAGGCGTCCACGACGCGCAGGTGGCTAACGCCATAGACGCGCAAGCGGGGGTCCACCACGGCCTCGGGGTCCTCGTGCGGGCCCATCTTGCACGTGCCCACCGGGTGGTAGATGGTGGTGGTGTACTCGGTGGCGACGCACGCCCAGTACTCGTCCTCGCCCCACGGCAGGTGCTTGCAGGCGGGCAGCGGCGTCTGCAGCATGCGCGCGCCCGCGTGCACCAGCGGCTTGGTGCGCGACCAGCGCACGCCCAGCTGCATGCCCGCCACCATCACGGCCAGGTCGGGCTCGCGCGTGAAGTACCTGGCGGAAAAGGGTCATTTGTAGGTGCAAATTAGGGTGCAAAACTAAAACTAAACCCATTTTTACGCACAAAGTCGTACGCTTTCCAATAAATTCAATGGAGTGTGTGTGTGTGTACCAAATGCACTGTTGAGTCAGAATTGTGTAAGGCCTGAGAAGAATATTATTACTTGTCTATAAAGTAATGTGCAATCCTATCGTGCGTTGTTATCTGTGCATAAAATTCAGCAAATTCTGTGTTGTTACGATTGAACCAGAGTGCATTCATTTCATATCTATCTCTAGAACAAATTGGGCAGTATTATTTGATGATCTAAATCAAGCCCTCTTTAGAGCCAGTCTTTTGTATTGCTGGCAAAACTAACGTTGTAACAGACTTGTTCACGGATTTTTTTTTTACAAATTTTTTCAATAACTGTGTAGAATTTCTAATGTGCGCAAGCTTTAAACGTAGTTTTTAAAGCAAAAATATGCATATTCAAGCATACATCGTTCGTTTTATCACTTGTACAAAAAGCTAGTGGACAAAACAACTGCATTACTGTTCATTAATCCTTGCCTTCTCAACTATGTGCTATTGTTCTTATATATTACATTGCTACACTCACTATGGTGGGTGCACTACGGTGCACTATTTCTCTGTAATTAGTCCTCAAATCGTTTCAAATGTCGCAGATTCACGAATTTCGGCTCAACTCAGAAGCACACAAATTGGTTTTCGTGTGTATAGCTGTACTTTACTTTGCTAAGCTTATAGCGATCCTTTTTTGTGCTTACTTTGGGTAGATGAGGGGCGGCCCCCACACCGGGTCCGTGTCATTGAGCAGAATATATCCCCTGGACTTCGGCCGCAGCAGGATGGGCCTTATGTTGACGGCGTCGTAGTACACGAGGGGGTTGGCGTTGATCTCGAAGTAGTTCTCCGGGTCGCGCACGAAGTCCTCGGCGTTTCCGGCGTCGAACGCGTACTGGATGTCGGCCAGGTCCGGGTCCTCGGCGTACTCGGTCTGCGCGAGCACCCCGCAGCCCAGCGCGCCGGTGGCCGCCAGCGGGCCCTGGCGCATCCCCTTGGGCGGGGAGATGATCCAGTCGTGTAGGTCGCTGACCTTCTGCTCGTCGTGCACGTCCGTCGCCGTCTTACCCAGCGCCATGACCACCCCGTTCGTCGTGACGTGGTCCTGGAGGTTCTTGCCCACGGGCAGATCGGCCACCACGTGCACGCCGAACTGCGCAATGTGCTTGGACGGGCCTACCCCGGACAGCATCAGGATCTTTGGGGAGTTGATGGCTCCTGTGAACAATCAGAGTCAGTATATCGATAGAGATAGGAACTTTCGCGTTAAGGAAGGGGTTGGTGGAAAAAAGGTGCTTTTTCGGTTTAAAACTGGTAAGATTTTTCAGTAATAGCTTTTTTTGGACTATACTGCACCCATCATATTCGAGTACGGATAGGGTGTTTCCGATCCGAAGCCAACTCGTGAATCCCTAAACATCGATGTTTCGTGCATATGAAACTTTCGGGCCGTTTTTCCAGGAAGAACCTTTTTTCCGTCGAAATATTTTCGTACGGACATGTCAAATTTTGCCATTATCATTAAGAATCCACATAATAATCCATATTTTTTTGCGTTCCCTTTACACGCGCATAGACCTACTTAAGATACAGAAAATAGTAAATAAAATTTGCCTCGTGGGAGGGACTTC